TTTTTTTTTTTTTTTTTTTTTTTTTTTTTTTTTTTTTGGTCACCATAAAAATAAAAGAGAAAAAAATTAAGTAGAGGAGAAATAAAACTTCCCCAGGCACACAAAAACTGAGGGCAGTTATTGCCAATAGACCACCTTTGCAAAAATTGTTAAAACAAGTTCTTCGGAGAGAAGGAAACTTGGATCTACATACAAAAGGAAGAGTGTTGGGGTGCCTGGGTGGCTCAGTTGGTTAAGCATCCAACTCTTGATTTTGGCTCAGGTCATGATCTCACAGATTGTGGGATCGAGTCCCACATCGGGCTCTGTGCTGACAATGTGGAGCCTACTTGGGATTCTCCCCGCTCTGTCTCTGCTCTCCCCTGGCTTGTGGGAACACTCTCTTTATCTCTCAAAATAAATAAATTTTAAAAAAGGAAGAGTGTTAGAGAATAATAAATGCAGGTAAAAGAAAACCTTTTCTTCTTCTGATTCTTCGTGGATCTAATAGATAACTTTTAAAAGTAATAATAGTGACGATATATTAGGTGGTTTTACCTTATGGAAAAATAAAATGAATGAGCACAATGTTATAAGAGATGAGGGAGAATTGAGAATACTCTTTTATAAAGTACCTACACTACCTATGAAATGGTAAAGTGTTATGTGAAAGTGCTGTTAGATTAGTTATAAATGGATATTATAAACTCTAAAGCACTAAAGTTTTTTTAGAACTATAATATGCTAGGAGAGAAGATAAACTGAAATCATATAAAACATTTAACTAAAATTAGAGAAGTCAGTAAAAGCGGGGAGGGGGGGCGGATAGTAAAGAAACAAAGAACAAGTGCAATGAATAGAAAAGTTATAAACATGGTAAACATGAATCTGACTATATCAATAAGCACTTTAAATGTAAATGGTCTAAATACACCAATTAAAAGACAGAGACTGTCAGGGTGGGTTAAACAACAAGACTCAACTGCATATTGTCTACAAGACACAGACAGAATACAAGGAAAAGGATGCAAGAGATATATCATATTAACGGTAATCAAAAAAATAGCTGGCTTCAGGGCACCTGGGTGGCTCAGTCAGTTGAGCATCCGACTTTG